AGCTGCCGCTTGCACCCCTGGAGGCGGAGGGCAGGGCGTGCCCCCCGATCCGTGAAGGGGGGGCTGGAGCCCATGCTGCACAGGGCTATTCTCAGCGAGGGCTGGGCTCCGAGTGGGCACCAGCAGTGTTGGGAGGGGACTGCATCCACCCCAAATTTCACCACAGCTCTGCTCCCACAGCCAGCCACCTGGTGCTGCCTCAGCTCTTCCCAGTGCATCGTTGGAGGCAGGACATGGAGCTGGGCTGCGCCTGATGGCACAGAGCTGGAAGCGGAGCTGCGGCAAGATTTGGGATGGCTGCAGCCCCTCCCAGTGCCACTGGTGCCCACTCCAAGCCCAGCCCCCGCTGAAAAGAGCCATGCAGTGCCAGCTCCAGCCCAACCCACACAGATCTGGGCAGGCACATACCCCGTCCCCCAGTGCCCTTCCGGGGTGGAAGCAGTGGCAGGAGCCCCTAACTCCCAATGACCTGCACCTCCATCCTGTGCCCCAGCTCCACCTGGGCGGCACCTGCTCCTGCCCCCTCCATCCCTCACTGTAGAGGCACTGATCTGTCCCCACCTTCCCTCCCCTTCCACCACACCACACTTAGCAGCTGGAGGCAGCTGTATCAGATATTGGATTGGCACTCGCCAATACGCATCTTCAAATCTTAGCTATCAGTATTGACCTCCAACATCCCTATTGGTGCACTCCTAATTTTTAGCTTTCTCTCTATCTCTATACAAACATGCTAAGCTGAAAATCATATTGGATGGAATTTAGGGAATGATGAAGACCATTATTAATAATGACTCATTTTAAATAAAATATATAACGAAAGACAAAATGCATGATATGATCTGGCTTTTTATGGCAGTGATTAATATAGATGCACCTTAATCAGTTTACTGTGAGGCTAAAATTATGCAAGTGAAATATAAATATGAAATATTACAGAAAGGGTGAACAGACTAAATCTTCCCTTTGGGACAGCAGTAACTGAGGAGACAAATACTGAAACCTACGATAGCATTTTTGTTTGTTTGTTTAAATAGACTCTCCCCCTCAAGACCTGCCAGAGCCCAAGTTTGGAGACCTTTTCAGAAGTACTGTAAGCTTTCCCTTTGTGAAAGCATTTAACAGACAAAGCTAGGCTGCGATATTGTTCAGGGGGATTCTGCTTTATGTTTATACGCTACTCATTTTTGAAGTTATTTAGTTCTCCTGTTCGCTCTCCTGTATTATAAGTTACTGTGTTCCCTTACTATATGCCACTCTGAGCTTTTGTTGGAAAGGGAAACATATATAATTAATAAATATAATTTTAAAAAAGTCAAAAACAGTAGAAAGCCATCATTTATTTGGAAGAAAAGGAAATTCAAATAATTTAAGTTTATTTGCAAGATTCTCTCTTCCTATGTATTATAGAAGTCAGGGGTATCAAGGATCTGATCTGTGGAACCAAATCACCCAGTCTCCGTGATGCTGGCAGTTTGGAAGAGGCCCCTATATAGGTCAGATGCAATGCCTGTGGTACCTGCTCCAGTTGGTCTGGGACTGTACCACAAGGTCCCTGCTCAGGCCAGTCCAGGTTCCAGCCACGTACAGCACCATGCCAGCTGGTCTGGGGTGGACACTGTGTGAAGCATGGGTACCAGAGTGGGCACAATAGGTAGCATAGTCCTCAATCAGTCAGAGTGGACATTTGATCCAGTATATGAGGTGGGAGGACCCTATCCACAGGATCAGGTGAGTTTGACACACCTGATGCAAGCATTATGTCTACTGAATCTACTTAGCAATAAAGTCTATCAAAGTATATTCTCTGAAATTTCACCTTTACTCACTGATGACTAAGCTATACATTTTTATATCCAACCCAGGAGATGCACTTCTCCCTTTAAACAGTTAAGTATTTTATTTGGTGCCAAAAAAATGCTGCACAGAATGTGATTCTAATGTTACACTACCTTTTTAATAATCCAGTGTGCAGTGTTATTAGGATACCGTACAGTAAGCATCTTGTGTAGACGTGCCCACTGATTCTGTAAAGTACCTTCAGAATACAAAATTATGTATTTTGTTCTATAGTCTTTACTTCCTATGTTAACACGTTTGCAATATCTGCCTATACAGCTAATACACTCTATCCCTTTGTATTCAATTCAGGCAACTGCTTCTTGAAAGACTAGCTCTATTTTTTTCCCCTTTTAATTAACATACAGTCACTTTGGCATCTCTGGAACCGTTCTAATCCTTAATACATTAGATTGGGGCTCTCCAGATGGCGGCCTGAAAGGAGTTAATTGTTGCCCCTGGGTTCCCATCTGGGTGCCACTCCCCATGTTGCTCCACCTGCACCAGTGGCTGGAGGCTCCAGGCTCCTGCTTTGTCCAGTGTCCCCTTCCTACCCAGGAGATGAGGCAATGCAATACAGCACAACCTTCAGTGCCAGGGCACCCTGCAGCCCAGGGTGCCCAAGTGGTGCAGTGCAGCAGGGGACCTCGCAGCGAGGAAGCTAAGGGTGAGTTGGGATGCTTGGGCAGTGCAGTAGGGAGTAGTGGAAGAAGGGCAAGGAACAGCAGCAGGGGAACCCAGTGCAGGGAACAGTTGCTGGGATGGGGAAAATGGAATCATGTGGTACAGTGACGGGGCACCTGGGTATATGGTACAGTGGGGAGGGCACAAGAAGTAACAGCAGGGGGGGGTGAGAAATTCCAGACACACAGGCTGGGTGAGGGTGTCAGGGAGGGGAGGGGAAAGACAGCTCCCACTGGGGTGGCCTGAAGGCATGTGTCACTTAAAAGTCAGACAGCCCTGTTTTAGGTCTTTCTGGTTTCCCCCAAGCCTCTGCCTTTTTTTTTTTTTTTTGCATGTAACATGAATTTTCCACATTGGCTTCTCCAATTCTACAATTTTTGATCCATGTGTAACAACCAAGGAATTAGAGAATAAACAGATTATAATTTAATGTGTAATTTTTTTTAATTCAGAAGAGGTACAACAAAGCCATAAAACTGTCCGAGAACTGGGACAAAACTACTTTGTATTAACTTACCAGAGTCTACCTGTGATGAAACTGTTACCACTGAATGGGATGTTTCTAAATCATAAATGACTGTGTTGCCAGTGCTAAAAGATGCCACCATGTGAGCAGGATCACAACCTATAAAGTCAACTGATGTAGGTATTCCATGCTCTAAAAAAAGTAAGTGGAGAAAGAAAACATCAGACTAAGAAACAATGCCTTTAAAATATCATAGTCTTAAAAAGTTCAATTTATCTTTTTCAGACAGTAACTGAAGAGCATATGAAGGTTTATAAAAACACAGCAAGTAAACAAAACGCTACCTTGAATAATGCTAATAAAGACTTTAAAAAAAAAATAAAGATAGCTAAAATCAAGTAATCCTAAATCCACTTTAAGTGCTGGCATCTAAAGCAGAGGTACAACTACCAGGCTGCTTGCAGAGGGAGTTCCTGCCTCACTTCCTAGGATCTCCAGGAGACTTGAGACTACAAAACAACCATGAGTTTGTTCTAAAAAATACTGTCAAGTGGTACTGGATTTAGAAAAACTAAGAAAGAAAATAATCCCTTTTCTATCACAGATTTTTCAAGCCAAAATCTAAACTTGTTTTCATGCAAACATCATACACTTACCCTTTTCTCCATTGTAAGTGCAAATACATGGCAATTTTTCTGGTGGATTCCATAATCTAATAGTGCCATCTGCTGAGCAAGATAGTAAATGATTTTTTATACCGCTGTAAGCAAGACCCCAGACTGCATCTGTGTGACCAAATAATGTGCCAGCTAGAACATTTGGCTCTGGGGAAGAGAAAAAATAGAGGAACATTTTTAGATGTTAAGTTTTAATGAAAAAGGAGAAACAATCAATGCATTAAAATTTCTCCCTTCTATTTAAGAACAAGCAATTCTAAAGATAATCCCAAAAAACAGATTCCAGATTTTTCAATATTAAGTATGGTAATAGAATACTGTACATAATATCAATCCAGTAAAAATCATGAAGAGAAAATCTACTGCAGGAACAAAAAATGAACCTGGAAATGAGAGAATCCTGAACTAAACTGTATTGGAAAAATAAAATAGGATCCAGAGCAGATGCCTGCAATACACATGCATTTATTTAGTTGTTCTAGATTCATTAGGCTGGGAATCTATCTTCAGTCTTGTTATGTTCTACAGAAAAAGGCAATCTATTTCACAGGATACTTCAAACAAGTCAATGCAAGTGAATTCAGTCTTTATTGAAAGCATTAATGTTGTTAATCTTTTTTAAATCACTGGTGATATGATTCACCTGAAACTGATTTAGAGTTTTAAAAATCCAGAGCTAGCCATATGATAAAACTAGACAGAAACTGACATTGCTTCTTCATAGGCACTGATCTTTACTATAATATAAATCCAAATTTCCAGGATGAAGACATATCAGTTATTGCAATGAGAAATGAATAAATTGGAATTAAACTCATTTTAAAATTACACAACTTGAAACTAAGCCGCCAAGAGAAGATGGACAGCCACAAAATTGGCTCCTACCCTGGGGGTCTTTAAGAGGAGGCTAGACAAACACCTTGCTGGGGTCGTTTGACCCCAGTACTTTTTCCTGCCATGGCAGGGGGTCGGACCTGATGATCTGCTCAGGTCCCTTCCGACCCTACTCAATATGAAACTATGAAAATTCTCTCCTCCTCCCTGCAGCTTCAATGGAGTGCCCAGATGTAAGAAATCA